AACTGGTGTGTTGTTCTGTCATGAGGTGAGGTGTATGTGTGGTGGAAGTCAGGCGCAGGACACCGAGGCTCAGTCCAACAGAGTTTACTCAAAAATTCCAAAAGGAAACGGTAAACATACTTCCTCAAAACAATAAGAGGCGAGCATTTACGCACAATGCGTAAAACACTAAAATAACAAACAAGAAACAAAACACGCAGCACAAAGACAGGCGAAAAACAACACACAACTAATCCATACAAACACAGGGAACTTATAGGACACGTAATAATCACAAATCAGACACAGGTGCTAAGGACAGACAAAAGCAATCGCACATGGAATCATCCAACGATGGCAGCTAGTACTCCGGGGACGGCGAACGCCTTTGCCTGCCCGAACCAGGAGGAGGAGCAGTCTCGGCCGAAACCGTGACAAAACCAGCTTTTTGTGCGAATGGAAAATGTCTGGGATCTTTTATTTTAGCTCATGAAACATGGGACCAACACTTTACATGTTGCGTTTTATATTTTTGTACAGTGTATTAGAAGGCTCATCATTTTGCTAAAGAAAAAAAATGTTCCTTCCACCCATGTAAATATGTTTAGCAAAAACCACTTTAATTTTTTATTTTTGTAGGCTATTCTGCATCTTCCAAACTTTGTTGGCTACATCTCATATTGCAATGTATTTCTGTCCTTATCTTTAGCATATCCGTCAAAATGTCTGTCCTGTGAAGTGATTATGCACTTGCAGTGGTCAACTAGTCTGATAATGTGACCTTCACGTTGGCTCGAATTGCAACTCAGCTTTTTTTTTTGTAAAGCGTTCATGACCGCTGGCAATTAATGAGATTAAAATGTCTGTAACCTCACTTGTAATTGGGCTTCTGTATAGTGCAATTCAGTGTTCGAGGCTAGCCTATATTAAAACTGCTGTGAATGCAATATTATGTTATAAGGTAATTATTTACCTGCTGAAATAGTAAAGCACAAAGTCCAAAGAAAGTCTGATTTGTTATTGTCTGGCCATCTTTATTGCCTTTTATATTTTATAAAGGCATTTCTCATCCAAATGCATGGTGGTGGAATAACAAGAAGCCAATCGATAAAGGACACTTGCCCCTACTCTTGGAACCAACCCAATTCCTCACAGATAACTGATGATAGTAATTTAACCAGGATATTGCATGGCACCAAGTAGTCTCTTCTCAGCGCCAAGAGGCTTTAATAACACTCTATTTAGACTTCCATTTTGCAACCTCTGATGCAATTGCAAAACACAAACAATTTTGTTCATGTGAATTGTTCCAAAAATCATTGAGTCATCCTGCATTACAAATTTGGAATTTCATCATTACAAGCATCCAGTCATATGTCAAACACTGCATTTATCAGTGGGTAATGGACAGTTTCATTGTTTCACAAATAGAACATCCACCTTTTTTTTTGTGCCCTAAAAATCTTCAGCACAGGTTGGCATACAGTAATAAAGGCATATTCAGTGACATTTTCAGTTTGTTGCATCAAAGCAGTTAAAATTAGGCCATCTCTTGAATCAGCATATATCTCCGTCTCTTATTGCGGCTGCATGTGATACATCTCTACTAGCTGTGTTGTGGATTCTCTGGAGAGCTGAAGCACATGCATAATTAAGGCAGTCTTCTTACATGGAGCCTGTTCTCTTCACCCAGCCATACAAAACAGAGCTACACATATGGGCTGTGAGGACATTATACAGTCTATGGGCTGTGAGGACATTATACAGTCTATGGGCTGTGAGGTCATTATACAGTCTATGGGCTGTGAGGACATTATACAGTCTATGGGCAGTGAGGACATTATACAGTCTATGGGCAGTGAGGACATTATACAGTCTATGGGCAGTGAGGACATTATACAGTCTATGGGCTGTGAGGACATTATACAGTCTATGGGCTGTGAGGACATTATACAGTCTATGGGCTGTGAGGACATTATACAGTCTATGGGACTGTGAGGACATTATACAGTCTATGGGCTGTGAGGACATTATACAGTCTATGGGCTGTGAGGACATTATACAGTCTATGGGCTGTGAGGAAATTATACAGTCTATGGGCTGTGAGGACATTATACAGTCTATGGGCTGTGAGGACATTATACAGTCTATGGGCTGTGAGGACATTATACAGTCTATGGGCTGTGAGGACATTATACAGTCTATGGGCTGTGAGGACATTATACAGTCTATGTGCTGTGAGGACATTATACAGTCTATGGGCTGTGAGGACATTATACAGTCTATGTGCTGTGAGGACATTATACAGTCTATGGGCTGTGAGGACATTATACAGTCTATGGGCTGTGAGGACATTATACAGTCTATGGGCTGTGAGGACATTATACAGTCTATGGGCTGTGAGGACATTATACAGTCTATGGGCTGTGAGGACATTATACAGTCTATGGGCTGTGAGGACACTGAATAAAGAAAGGATACACAGATTTACAGAACGGTAGCTACTACATTCTTCACAATAACATGTCACGAGAGGTGGAGGAGCGTGTTTTCAATTAAAACCGAATGTAGGAAAGATAATGAAGACGGAGAAATTAGTTCTCCTGTCTTGTCTTTTGTCGCCTGCCCTTCATAAGTGATAAATGTCTCGAAGGCATCTGACTGAAGTTGGCATGTTTCAGTCCATCTGGTTGCCAAATAGACTCTTGGCATGCACTGCCATCAGGCCTTTTCAGACTGTTGGCACACAATGTTCAGCTGGGCCCATCTAGTAAGGGGACTGGAAAAGCGATATGCTTCACCACCAAGTAACGACAATTCTGTGCGGTGAAGAAAATATGCTCAAGTTCTCTTGCACTGTGTCTTAAGAGTCAACCCACACAGCTGCTCTGTCTTACTTTGTACCCCCTAAACATTAAGTCATTGAACTCTAAACAACAATTAGCAGCTTAACCACTTTGATTCAATCCACATGTGGTCCTCTGTAGCTCAATTGGTAGAGCATGGCGCTTGTAACGCCAGGGTAGTGGGTTCGATCCCCGGGACCACCCATACCTAAAAATGTATGCACACATGACTGTAAGTCGCTTTGGATAAAAGCGTCTGCTAAATGGCATATTATTATTATTATTATTATTATATTATAAGTCATGTGAAATGAGACGTTAAGTATTTTGATGTTGAATTATGGGTCCCACTTTAGACAAACACGTTAATAAAGAGTGTCTGCTAAATGACTATATGACTAAAATGTATTAAAGCATTCATAAACTCTTCATAAGCCCTACATAGCTTCACAAAGCATTTGTAAGTAATGTCATACTACAGAAAGGGTGATTTAAAAAGTCCCTACATCTGGTGCTTTGGAAAATGTGGCATAACCCATTTGTCACCCTTTACATAACATGGGATTTGCTTTTGGGGGATTTCTGAGCCATGGGCCATCCATATAGGCCTTATGAATGGTTTATGAAGGCTTCATTGAGCCTTAAAAGTTCTCTGTTGTATAGAGTGGGACCGGATTATTTAAGATGTGCCCAAGCAACATAAATGGTATTCAATAAAGTAAAGTATCAGGTGGTTTGAATTTTGCCCTCCTTGGACACACCCACACTGTTAAAATGAAGTGCTTTGAAACACAAAAACTAGTGACGACTGAGCTTTCACCACCTTAAAAGATCGTATTGAGCCCTGGACTGAAGTTTTGTATGAGTGCTACTGCTAACATTAGCAGTCATTGCTTATATTATTTTCCATGAATGTCAAACATAATGCCATATTTCCATTGATTTTTAAGAATATTAATATGATAAATACCTTACAGATCTTTGAACTGTCTTACTTTATCAATATAAAAATGTGAAAGACCTGTTAATGCTATGTGATTTTGAAAATTTGAAAAGAAAACATAAAGCACATGAAGCGTCAAAATCATGTTTTATACTTATTAATTATTATCCTGGACAAACGTAGTAATTTTTGTTTTCACAAAAATATATTTTCTTGTGTCCTTTGTTTGAGCATAATGCTGTACATTTGACCTTTTGGAATTACTGATGAGTTTATAAACACATCATATAAGAGCAGGGAATAAACAAGAAGAGGAGGGACTCCCATTTACAGTGTTTGGAAACTCCAGAAGTTCTAATTCTGCACTGAACAGGACTGGAAACACCACAATAGTGTTTAGGAGCTTCAGAAAGAGGAAACTACACCAAAAGGGATCTAATTCTGCACTACACAGGACTTGAAACACCATAATAGTGTTTTCATTTCACTATTAGTCTACACCTGTTGTTTATGAATGATGTGACATCAAATGTGATTTATTGAGTCCATGTTCAGTCTACTTATCTCAAGTCTGAATCAGCACAACAGTTCAGTCCTGAAGACTGGCTGAGTGGACTAACGCAGTGTTTTGACACCTCACATGAATGCCCACTTTACACGTTACCTCTGCTATAACTTACATAGCTCTAAACGCCTTGATTGTACCATTTATTTATAATCTCACAATGGGCCTGGCAACTGTAGCCTGTAATTAGTGTCAAAGTCTACCCTAGGAAAGTATGCAATTCCCAGTGTCTTCTTTAAAATGTTTATCCAAATATTGACTGAAAATCACAATCAATCAATATTTATGCTATAAACCATTTGCAATTTAAAACCATTTGATTGTATGAGAGAGTCTGCCAAAACACTGTTTTTGTGTTTTGATGCTGCCTTTTAAATGCACAGAAACACCAAAAAGGGTTTTCACAACTCGCTTAAAAACACAATTATTCAGATTGAAGAATACTTCCATTGGGTTGAAGAATACTTCCACATACATTGGGTTTACATTCAAACACTGTCCAAACATCAGATCTCTGTTTAGGTGCACTATCTTTCATGGTTTTACTATACAATGATGGTGTTTTGAGTCTTTCTATTTTAATAGTGCACACTGTGCACCACTGACAACGTACGTAGCCGTTGAAGATGTCCTCGCCCTCTTTTTTCCCCCTCTTTCTCGCTTCCAGAGTACCTTTCTTGGCCGGCTGAGACACTTTGTAGAGATCATCGACCCCAGCACACTCTTTGTATCTGAGGTAAGGCATCCATCCATCCACATGCTGTTTTACTACTTCAGCTATGTTTTTTGTAAGATATACAAAAAACGTGGCCTTCCACTGAATTTCTGATTGAAGATGAGACTTGGGAACTGTGGCAACAGGAGAATGCCGTCCACTTTATACTGTAGATCTGGAATCCAATCAGATAGCACAGGGACGGACTTGGAACAGAAATTGGTCCTGGAATTTCTCACACACCAGACAATTACCCCCCCCCCCCCCCCCCCCCCCCCCCCCTCAAAGCCCCTATTATTATTAATGATAATTATTTGCAAAACAAACAAACAATTTAGACAGGCCCACTGGGCTAAAGATGGACCAGCCCATCTGGCATTTGCCAGAACTACCGTTACCCAGTCCTTCTCTAAGATAACACATTAAGAAGAAACCTAACTACCTACTGTTAATTCTCTTGTTGACTCAAATGACTCTTTTATCTCTCCAGAGTCGATTGACAGAATGCGTCAAACTCCTGGATGATTTTCAACATGGAACACTACCTCCTGGAGTTACAGATCTACAGGTGAGGTTTTAAACATGGAACATACAGGTGAGGTTTTAAACATGAAACACTACTACCTGGAGTTACAGATCTACAGGTGAGGTTTTTGTTATCAGAAATTCCTTTGTCAGTGTTACAGAATATTTACAGTGCCTTCAGAAAGTATTCACACGCCTTGAATTTTTCCACATTTTGTTGTGTTACAGCCTGAATTTTGAATGGATTAAATTGAGATTTTTGGTCACTGGCCTACACACAATACCCCATGATGTCAAAGTGGATTTGTTTTTTGTTGTTGACATTTTTACAAATTCATTAAAATTGAGAAGCTGAAATGTCTTGAGTCAATAAGTATTCAACCCCTTTGTTATGACAAGCCTAAATAAGTTCAGGAGTAAAAATGTGCTTAATAAGTCACATAATAATTGCATGGACTCACTCTGAGTGCAATAATAGTGTTTAACATGATTTTTGAATGACTACCTCATCTCTATACCCCACACATACAATTATCTGTAAGGTCCCTCAGTCGAGCAGTGAATTTAAAACACAGATTCAACCACAAAGACCAGGGACGTTTTCCAATGCCTCGCAAAGAAGGGCACCTATTGGTAGATGGGTAAAAAAAAAGCAGACAATGAATATCCCTTTGAGCATGGTGATGCTATTAATTACACTTTGGATGTTGTAACAATACATCCAGTCACTACAAAGATACAGGCGTCCTTCCTTACTCAGTTGCCGGAGAGGAAGGAAACCGCTCAGGGATTTCACCATGAGACCAATGGTGACTTTAAAACAGTTACAGAGTTTAATGGCTGTGATAGGAGAAAACTGAGGATGGATCAACAACATTTTAGGTCTCCACAATACTAACCTAATTGACAGAGTGAAAAGAAGGATGCCTGTACAGAATAAAAATATTCCAAAACATGCATCCTGTTTGCAACAAGGCATTAAAGTAATACTTTTTAATCTTTTTTATATTTCATATTTATTGAATATTTAAAACATACAATATACTGGCAGTGAAGCCGCTCAACAACTACATCACATTAGTCATCTAACAGACTCCCATCCAGAGCGACCCACAGAAGCAACCAGGTTCAACGCCCTGCTCAAGGGCACGTCAACAGATCTCCCACAAGGTCAAAAACGGGGACCCGAACCAGCGATCCATGATCCCCCCCCCCCCCCCCCCCCCCCCCCCCACAGTTCCCCAAGAGCTGCCCCTCAACTATCCGAGACCATGCATGTATGGCACTATTTACATGTGTGTCCGTGTATGTGCACGTGTGCATTTGAATGAGAGTGTGTGTATATGCATGTGTACAAACACCTGCACGGCATCAGCCTCAGGCAAACAGGCATTAGCTGTAACAACACTGCCCCTCAGTGTCATTCAAACATACTTTTTGCTATGTTTTATTTTGACTTTATTTTTTTAAACTTTTATCTTTGACCGTCATTCTATCCCCCACCCAGCAACTCCACTCCCACTTGTCTCCAATTCCACATCCCAACCCTCAGCCTCCCTCAGCCCATCCCACCTATCTCTGCTGGCCACCCTCTTCGGATTTCTACGTACCGTATATCTTTCAACTATGGTGTGATGTTTAACATACAATTTCAATCTATCTAATCGAATAGAATCCACAGATTGCGAGTTGAAGATAAATAATTTTACTAAGAGTATTAGTATATTAGTAATTGACTGACCCAGTCTCTCCAGATCTCCTAACAGTACTATTTCTAGGGTCAATTTTAGATCAATGTTATGCATTTTCAGCCATTCCTGAACCAGAAACAGGCTACCTGAGGGCAATACCAAAATAAATGGTATATTGATTCTGTATCCTCACAACAAAATCTGCAGAGCTTCGATGATTGTATGCCCCAAATATTCAACATTTTGTTGGTGGCAAGAATTCTATATAATAATTTTAGCTGAAAAGCACGAAGTCTTGAATCTTGCGTCGTTTTATATATCAACTCATACATCCTGTACCATGGAATCGGTACATCAAAAATCTCTTCCCAACTATTTTGCAATCTGTATGACACAGCTGTCAACATCCTTGTCCTCAAATGAAACAGGTATACTTTCCTATTTATGCTATTTTTATTCCTCCGCCAGTTTTGATCCTTTATATTGGGCAGACAGACCAGTTCCCTACCTCCTCCCGCTGCCACCTGCCTCCTCCATTTTTGGGGTAATGCTGTAATCAATTGGTTGAAATCTTGGATTGAGCAGATCTTCCCATACAATTCTCATAACTCCATGAAAGCCATAACTCTACCATTCAGAAAAGTTATCTAGATCTTCAATGAGACATTGCAGGGATCTAGCTTGTGGACTTAATATAAAACTCAAGTCATCGGCATACATTGACACCTTTGTTTTTAAGCCTTGGATTTCTAATCCTCTAATGTTGTTATTTGATCTGATTTTAATAGCTAGCATTTTGATGGCCATAACATATAGATATGGTGACAGTGGACACACTTGTTTAACTCCTCTTGACAATTCAAAACTCTCTGAGAAGTAGCCGATATTTACTATTTTACACCTGGGGGTTGCTATACATTACCTTTACCCATTTTATAAGAGAATCCCCAAAATTTAAAAAATCCAGGCATTTATAAATAAAATCCTGTCTTACTTTATGAAATGCCTTTTCAAAATCCGCTATAAATACCAGGCCTGGCTTCTTAGATATTTTTAGTAGTTGTCGTATATTATCTCCAATGTATCGTCCATGTAAAAAACCTGTCTGATCAGGATGAACAATACCTGGTAAAACCTTTTTAATTCTGAGTGCTATGCATTTCGCTAGTATTTTTGCATCACAACATTGAAGTGTAAGAGGCCTCCAGTTTTTAAGACAGACTGGATCTTTATATTTGCCATCTGGGACTTGTTTTAATAATAGTGAAATCAGACCTTCCTGCTGAGTACCTGTCAGACTATCATTTCTATGGTAGTTAAAACAATCTAACAATGGAGATTTGAGTATATCAAAAAAGGCTTGATATACCTCTACTGGTATGCCATCAAGCCCTGGGGTTTTTCCACACTGAAAGGACTGAATAGCCTCAAAAAGTTATTCCTCTGTAATTTGGCCTTCGCACTGATCTTTCTGTACATTGGTTAATTTTCAATTTTTTTATTATTTGGAAAGAATTCCTTACAGTAATCGTAATTCAGTGGGTGAGAATGAGACGGAAAAGATAACATCTGCTTAAAATATTTAGCTTCCTCTTTTAAAATACCATTCGGAGAATCATAGATTAATCCGTCTTCAGTAACGAGTTTCGGTAAATACTTTTTATTAGCGTTCCTGTGTTGGAGATTCAGGAAGAATTTGGTGCATTTTTCTCCATATTCCATCCAGTTTGCTTTGTTTTTGTAATAGATTTCATTTGATCGTTCTTGAATAAGTTGCTCCAGTTCTTTTTGTTTTTCCTCTAACTTATCTCTGTAGTATTGTTTTTATTGCTATCTACCTGTACTAGTACTTCATCTATTTCCCTTGTTAGTCTTGTCTCTTTAGCCAGAAACTGCTTTTTTATTATTGATGAATATTGAATTGAATGACCTCTGAAGGTACATTTTAAAGGTATCCCAAACAATAAGGGGATTTGCTGAACCTATATTGTACTGGAAAAATTCAGTTATAAATTATTTTGTCTTAGTTAAAAAATATATTGTCCTCCAGTAAACTTTCCAATATCCCCTTCCAAATGGAAATTCTATAAGAATTATGTGAAGGCCAATTAGATGATGATCCGATCGCATTCTGTCTCCTATTAAAACGTTTTTAACCTTTGATGCAAGAGAGACTAAAGTAAAACTGCAAAAAATGTGGCAAAGCAACAGTAGCGGTGCGTGGGTAAAATCACAGGGGAAGCCAATCCAGAAAAAACAAACATATTACAACCTGTGTTGTGATAATTGCGTTGTTTGCTCTATAATTAGTTAATATGCCTTGACGCCATTATATATACTGTAGGCCTAAAGCCAAGAAAATAAAAAGACACAGTACAACACCGGAGAGCAACATCTGTCCGGTGAAGTTCACAAAACATGTTGCATGTAACAAACAGTTACATGACCTACAGCACTGTCAAGCAAGGTAATGTTTCCCACATTTTCGGACTACTAAACAACTATTGATTTGGAACCACCGAGAGTTACTGCAAGTTGCAAAGAAAACAGGAGCTGCCTCCACTATTCCAGCACCATTTCAACTTGAACATTTCAACATCATCTAATCACATATGCTTAGTCTAATACAGTGACAACTAAAAGATACCCAAAACGATTTAGTCCAATCAACTTAAGATAAATATGATGTGGCTGTCCATGGCACTGATTTGTGTGTGTGTGTGTGTGTGTGTGTGTGTGTGTGTGTGGTGTGTGTGTGCGTGCTTGCAAGTAGAAAAAACATGTTGACTCACCCTACTTGTATAGAAACGCCAAGGCCATCCTCCTCTTTCAAATGGTCTATGACTCTGTCATACAGTACACACTTTTTGTTTTTGTTGTCCTAGGCTACCTGGCTAAAATAGTTGATCGCTAGCCTAACTTCCTTTAATGGGCAACGATACGCAGGCCAGCTAGTTAACATTAGCATACAAATCTAGCTACATGTTGAACTTCCATTCTCTCAGGCCAGGGGCACAATGTATGCATTTATGGTTGGATCAGAATCGCCGTTATAATCATTGGCCAGTACAGAGAATTAAGTAAAACCACAAGTCCAAATCCCTATCTCCATCCATGGCTAATTTAGGAAAGGGACGATTTTAGCTAGCTTACATTACATTACATTACAGTCATTTAGCAGACGCTCTTATCCAGAGCGATTTACAGGAGCAATTAAGGTTAAGTGCCTTGCTCAAGGGCACATCGACAGATTCTTCACCTAGTCAGCTCGGGGATTAGAACCAGCGACTTTTCGGTTACTGGCACAACGCTCTTAACCACTAAGCTAGCCACTGGAGGACTACAACACAACGAGACGCAACAATTATGTCACGCCCTGGCTCTGGGGACACTGTTATGTTGAGTCAGGGTGTGTAATTCTATGTTTGTATTTCTATGTTGGCCTGAGTGACTCCCAATCAGAGGCAACGAGTGTCAGCTGGTTGTCTCTGATTGGGAGCCATATTTAACTGTCTGTCTTTCACTTTGTGTTTGTGGTTTCTTGTTCCGTGTTGGTTGGTGTATGTAAGCAGGGACGTCACGGTTTCGTTTTGTTGTTTTGATCGTGTCATCATTTATTAAATAAAGAAGATGTTTGCCTTCAACGCTGCGCCTTGGTCCTCCTCCTTAGACGAGCGTGACAGAAGAAACCACCAAAACTGGACCAAGCAGCGTGTCCAGGAGCCATCGCCTGGGGAATCGCTTGCAGATCTCCGTGGCAACCTCGACTGGGTCCAGCCTTGTAAAGAGCAGAGTGGATGGACTTGGGAACAGTGGAGGAAGAGTTTCGACTGGGTCAAGCCTAATGAAGAGCAGAATGGCTGGAATTGGGGGCAGAAGAGCGAGAGTTGGGCGAGAACGATAGAGGCCTGGCCCACGGGGAGGAGAGACCCCCAGAAAATTTTTAGGGGGGGGCTCACGACGTCGGGGCAGCAGGAGGCCGCGGTAGAGCGGTCCAGCGGGTTGGCAGAGGAGGCCGCCAGGTTACGGGGGCCACTGGTAGAAGAGGGGATGGAAGGTGTAGAGGCACGGCGAGAGGTACTGGGGTGTGTTACCAGTCCGGTCCGGCCCGTTCCAGATCCCGATGTAGGGCCAGTGGTGTGTGTCCCCAGTACGGTCCGGTCTGTTCCTGCTCCCCGCACCAAGTCAGTGGTGCGCTTCGTCAGCCCGGCTCGGCCTGTTCCTGCTCCCCGCACCAAGTCAGTGGTGCGCTTCGTCAGCCCGGCTCGGCCCGTTCCTGCTCCCCGCACCAAGTCAGTGGTGCGCTTCGTCAGCCCGGCTCGGCCCATTCCTGCTCCCCACAACAAGCCAGTGGTGTGCGTCGTCAGTCCAGCACGGCCCGTGCCTGTTCCCCACACCAAGCCAGTGGTGTGCGTCGTCGGTCCGGCACGGCCCGTGCCTGTTCCACTGGTGCCTGGTCCGGCACCGGTCAGATGCGTTACGCCGGAGCTAGAGCAATCCGCTCCATCAGTGTGCAGTCCAGCTCCGGCCAGCGGGGCCAGACCGGACCAGGGGTACTTTGGGGGGTTGGAGAGGGAGTGGGGATCAGGCCCGGAGCCGGATCCGCCGCCTAGGTGGAGTGCCCACCCGGTCCCTCCCCTGTGGTATTTAGTTGGCGCGGTCGGAGTCCGCGCCTTTAGGGGGGGGGGTACTGTCACGCCCTGGCTCTGGGGACACTGTTATGTTGAGCCAGGGTGTGTAATTCTATGTTTGTATTTCTATGTTGGCCTGAGTGACTCCCAATCAGAGGCAACGAGTGTCAGCTGGTTGTCTCTGATTGGGAGCCATATTTAACTGTCTGTCTTTCACTTTGTGTTTGTGGTTTCTTGTTCCGTGTTGGTTGGTGTATGTAACCAGGGACGTCACGGTTTCGTTTTGTTGTTTTGATCGTGTCATCATTTATTAAATAAAGAAGATGTTTGCCTTCAACGCTGCGCCTTGGTCCTCCTCCTTAGACGAGCGTGACAAATTATTTATTTTTTCTGTCAATAATGACGTTTGGCTTGTGATGTGATTGGTCTGAAGCCAAATCCAAACTGTCTTTCCTTGACTTTTTTTTTGGTGCGCCAGGTCCATTCACAGCTGAGCTCAATCAGTTAATTTTTTTAATTTATTTTGTATTATCAAGGTAGGCCAAATGCTCGCTGACCTCCCTTGCATTCAATGCTACGTGGGCAACAATGTCATACTTTTCTGACCAGACAGCTTCAGATAGATACTCTTGTGAATTGAAGGAAATGTATGGAACACAGAGAGTCGAATGAAACATTATTTTGTATGTTTTATCTTTTTTTCTTGGTACGTTTTTTGGGGAAGCCTGGCTTCCCTTGGCATCCATGAATACACGCCACTGCAAAGCAATTCACTTTTTGTCCATAGTACAAAACTAATTCTGATTGGCTGGGCCTGACTCCCCAGTGGTTGGGCCTGGCTGCCAAGTGGGTGGGCCTATGCCCTCCCAGGCCCACCCATGGCTGCACACCTGCCCAGTCATGTGAAATCCATAGATTAGGGCCCAATGAATGTATTTTATGATGGAAATGTTTATGTTTGTGCTTTTCTAATAACCAATTTCAGTGTTCTATGTTTGTGCTTTTCTAATAACCAATTGCTGTGTTCATGCAAGTGACTGATTGAACGAATCCTCACTATCAGTATCTGCAATTTGGCAGAACGCCCAGACCCTTGTTTCTGTCACATGCATGACCCAGTATTGGTCGGTCACATGAATGAAGCAAACGTTAATGATGAATTATTTATGAAAGATGAATAAGCTAAATCATGCAAATATAACATGTCTGTATATAAGAGATCTAACGGGACTGCCCCGGAGGTGCTCCTGATCGACATGTGTACTTGGTGCATTGAGTTGGTTGGAACCTCTCCAGTGCGCTGATAATAAACAATGATTCATTTAAGATTGACTTCGAGTGTCCCACGTGTAGAATTTCCATGACAATTTCAATTGACTGATTTCCTTATATGAACTGTAACTCAGTAAAATCTTTGAAAGTTTTGCATGTTGCGTTTTATATTTTTGTTCAGTATACTTGAACATCTATGGCAAGACCTGAAAATGGTTGTCTAGCAATGATCAACAACCAATTTGACAGAGCTTGATTCATTTTGTAACATGACTCAGGATATGACCCAGATGCAGACACAGGAGACAGAAGGTTCAATATACAGAGTAGTTTATTAAAACCACAGGAGGCAGGCAAAGGGCAGGTCGAGGACAGGCAGAGGTTTGTAACCAGGTCCGAGTCTGATAGGTACAGGGTGGCAGGCAGGCTCAGGGTCAGGACAGGCAGAGGTTTGTAAATCAGGTCAGAGTCAGATAGGTACGGGATGGCAGGCAGGCTCAGGGTCAGGGTCAGGCAGAATAGGTCGGAACCGGGAGAACTAGAAACCGGGACTAGAGAGAACAGGAGTACGGTATAAAAATCACGCTGGTAGGCTTGACGAGACAAGACGAACTGGCAACAGACAAACAGAAAACACAGGTATAAATGCACAGGGGAAAATGTGCGACACCTGGAGGGGGGTGGAAACAAGCACAAGACAGGTGAAACAGATCAGGGTGTGACATTTTGAAAATAATAATGGGCAAATGTTGCACAATTCAGGTGTGCAAAGCTCTTAGAGACTTACCCAGAAAGACTCACAGATGTAATCGCTGCCAAAGGTGCTTCTACAAAGTATTGACTCAGCGGTGTGAATACTTATGTAAATTAGATATTTATGTATTTCATTTTCAATAAATTAGCAACATTTTCTAAAAACATTTTGTTCACTTTCATTATGGGGGTATTGTGTGTAGATGGATGAGATAATCCATTTTGAATTCAGACTAACACAACAAAATGTGGAGTAAGTTAAGGGGTATGAATACTTTCTGAAGGCACTGTACTATTCCAAATAGCTTTTTGTTTTCAAGCATATTGTTTGTGACGCTTGCAATATGTGGTTGTAGCACACTCCGTACATTCAGCAACCCAACATTTTCCCTCACTGCTCTGAAATGACACAGCTGTTGTTTTTGACTCTCTAGCTATGGGAAGCCCAAAAGGTCAAGCAGGTACGTTTTGGCGCACGTCTGCTTCGTATAAAGCAGTTTGACCCCATTTTAACCCCATGTATTTATTGCCATACAGTATATTCCCCCTCTCCTCTTGGCAGCATGATGATGATGTTACACTCTATATCTCATATCTGAATGCAGGCCATCATTCATCCTGACACAGGAGAGAAGATCTTCATGCCTTTCCGAATGTCAGGTATGACTTCCGAATGAAGCTCTTCGACAGAGTGACTTTTATTTTGCTACTGGTCATTTTTACACTGATTATATTATTTTGCATCTACACAGGTTATGTCCCATTTGGAACACCAATTGTAAGTCTTATGTGAAATTATTACTGTATTTCATATGTATCTATGGAAAGAATATTCAACTTGAGCCATTTTTTAAATTATTTTAATTATACATGGTCTTTACTGACTTCTTGGGGTAGATGGAAGTGTAACTCTGGTCCAGGGTGTTAGTATGCTTTCCTCCACTTATTAGAGGAATGTGCACTAACAACCTGGACCAGAGCTAATGGAAGCCGTCATTCTGGATCTGATAGAGACCATGTAAGAGCATAGTTGAGCTATTGTCTCCTTATCTGGTGTCATCTAGGTTGTGGGCCTTCTTCTTCCAAATCAGACTGTGGTATCCACTATTTTCTGGCAGGTAAAAAGACATGCCAAGATAGAGTTGAAGTTGGAAGTTTACATACACCTTAGCCAAATACATTTAAACTCTGTTTTTCACAATTCCTGACATTTAATCCTAGTAAAAATGTCTTAGGTCAGTTAGGATCACGACTTTATTTTAAGAATGTGAAATGTCAGAATAATATTAGAGAGAATGATTTATTTCAGCTTTTATTTATTTCATCACATTCCCAGTGGGTCTACATACACTCAATTAGTATTTGGTAGCATTGCCTTTAAACTGTTTAACTTGGGTCAAACGTTTCCGATAGCCTTCCACAATCTTCCCACAATAAGCTGGGTGAATTGTGGCCCATTCCTCCTGACAGAGCTGGTGTAACTGAGTCAGGTTTGTAGGCCTCCTTGCTAGCACATGCTTTTTCAGTTCTTCCCACAAATGTTCTATAGGATTGAGGTCAGGGCTTTGTGATGGCCACTCCAATACCTTGACTTTGTTGTCCTTAAGCCATTTTGCCACAAATTTGGAAGTATGCTTGGGGTCATTGTCCATTTGGAAGAACCATTTGCGACCAAGCTTTAACTTCCTGACTGATGTCTTGAGATGTTGCTTCAATATATTCACATAATTTTCCTTCCTTATGATGCCATCTATTTTGTGAAGTGCACCAGGCCCTCCTGCAGCAAAGCACCCCCACAGCATGATGCTGCCACCACTGTGCTTCACGGTTGGGATGGTGTTCTTCGGCTTGCAAGCAACCCCCTTTTTCCTCCAAACATAACGATGGTCATTATGGCCAAACAGTTATATATTTGTTTCATCAGACCAGAGGACATTTCTCCAAAAACTAAGATCTTTATCCCCATGTGCAGTTGAAAACCGTTGTATGGCTTTTTATGGCGGTTTTGGAGCAGTGCTGAGCGCTCCTTGCTGAGCGGCCTTTCAGGTTATGTCGATATAGGACTCGTTTTTCTGTGGATATAGATACCTTTTTACCTGTTTCCTCCAGCATCTTCACAAGGTCCTTTGCTGTTGTTCTGGGATTGATTTGCACTTTTCGCACCAATGTACGTTCATCTCTAGGAGACATAACGTGTCTCCTTCCTGAGCAGTATGACGGCTGCTTGGTCCCATGGTGTTTATACTTGTGTACTATTGTTTGTACAGATGAATGTGGTACGTTCAGGCGTTTGGAAATTGCTCCCAAGGATGAACCAGACTTGTGGAGGTCTACAATCTTTTTTCTGAGGTCTTGGCTGATTTATTTTGATTTTCCCATGATGTCAAGCAAAAAGGCACTGAGTTTGAAGGTAGGCCTTGAAATACATTCACAGGTACACCTTGGTGTCCACATCACCAACAAACTATCATGGTCCAAACACACCAAGACAGTCGTGAAGAGGGCACAACAAAGCCTATTCCCCCTCAGGAGACTGAAAAGATTTGGCATGGGTCCTCAGATTCTCAAAAAGTTCTACAGCTGCACCATCGAGAGCATCCTGACTGGTTGCATCACCGCCTGGTATGGCAACTGCTCGGCCTCCGACCGCAAGACACTACAGAGGGTAGTGCGTACGGCCCAGTACATCACTGGGGCCAAGCTTCCTGCCATCCAGGACCTCTATACCAGGGGGTGTCAGAGGAAGGCCCTCAAAATTGTCAAAGACTCCAGCCACCCTAGTCATAGACTGTTCTCTCTGCTACCGCACGGCAAGCGGTACCGGAGCGCCAAGTCTAGGTCCAAAAGGCTTCTCAACAGCTTCTACCCCCAAGCCATAAGACTCATGAACAGCTAATCATGGCTACTGGGACTATTTGCACTGTACCCCCACCCCCACCCCATCTTTTTACGCTGCTGCTACTCTGTTAATGATTTATGCATAGTCACTTTAACTCTACCCACATGTACATATTACCTCAACTACCTCAACTAGCCGGTGCCCCCGCACATTGACTCTGCACCGGTATCCCCCCTGTATATAGCCTCCCTACTGTTATTTTATTTTACTTCTGCTCTTTTTTTCTCAACACTTTTTTGTTTTGTTTTATTTTACTTTTTTATTAAAAGATAAATACATTGTTGGTTATGAGCTGTAAGTACGTTTTTCACGGTACTGTGTACACCTGTTGTATTCGGCGCATGTGGCAAATAAATTTGATTTGATTTGAATTGACTCAAATTATGTCAATTAGCCTATCAGAAGCTTGTAAAGCCATTACATCATTTTCTGGAATTTTCCAAGCTGTTTAAAGGCACAGTCAACTTAGTGTATGTAAACTTCTGACCCACTGGAATTGTGATACAGTGAATTCTAAGTGAAATAATCTGTCTGTAAACAATTTGTTGGAAAACTTACTTGTGTCATGCACAAAGTAGATGTCCTAACCGACTTGCCAAAACCATAGTTTGTTAACAAGACATTTGTGGAGTGATTGAAAAACAAGTTTTAATGACTCCAACCTAAGTGTATGTAAACTTCTGACTTCAACTGTACCTTTTCAACAATAACCTTTTACCATGTTGTTAATATCCACATTGGATACGCTCTTCTTCCTAGTTGGGTTAACTGATGTAATTGAATTTCACAGAATGTTTTTTTTCCTTTCAGTGGCTGAACCAGAGTCACAATGCCTGTGTCAACTACTCAAACCGCAATGCTACTAAGGTAGTGTATGACGTTACTTAGGTAGTGTATGATGTTACTTAGGTAGTGTATGATGTTACTAAGTTAGTGTATAATGTTACTAAGGTAGTGTATGATGTTACTATGGTAGGGTATGATGTTACTATGGTAGGGTATGATGCTACTAAGGTAGTGTATGATGTTACTACTAAGGTAGTGTATGATGTTACTACTAAGGTAGTGTATGATGTTACTAAGTTAGTGTATAATGTTACTAAGGTAGTGTATGATGTTACTATGGTAGGGTATGATGCTACTAAGGTAGTGTATGATGTTACTACTAAGGTAGTGTATGATGTTACTACTAAGGTAGTGTATGATGTTACTAAGGTAGTGTATGATGTTACTAAGGTAGTGTATGATGTTACTAAGGTAGTGTATGATGTTACTAAGGTAATGTATGATGTTACTAAGGTAGTGTATGAGAGGATAATGGATATTGTTTACGACTTGATTCCCAGAAAAATTATTAAATTACAGTTCTGTGTAAGTGTTTTTGGTCCACAGACTGTGCTGCTCCATAGCAACTAGCACTGCACCTCCTCCATCTGGTACTGTAGATTTCCTTCAATATGTGGTTATCAATAAAACGTCCCAATACGTTTTGATTTGGCTGCTGGGGGGCAAGGAGAACCCCAGCTCAGCTAAAACCATTGACAATTACGTTCCGTTTTTTGTTAAATATATGTTAACTATTTGGTTGTAATATCATCACCACTTGAAGAGCATAGTCAGAACTACACATTTCTGATTATTCCATGCAAAACAATTGCGCACATTTAGCTCTATCATCAGAGTTATACAGCAAGTAACTGCTCTCCAGGAGGCAAATGGAACGCTCTGCACCTTATATTGTGACATTTTATTGATAATTACCTATTTAGCCCATGGGTCATGTTCATTTGGCCCAAAGAGAAGAACATTGACTGAAACAGGGAGGGATTACCTGGACTTGCAATAAGAAATGTTTTGCTATGGTTTGCCCTAATTAACACAACCCAGATGTAAAAAAAAAAAACTATTTTGACATGATGTCAAAGTGTCCATTTTCTATTTAGAGTTTTGGTATTCCAGATAATGATTTTAGCCAGCGTTAGTCTTATGTGAGAGGCTGTGAAATACTAAGTCATTCATGTTGTTGTTCATATTAGCCTACACCGACATCCAAGTTTCTTCAAGGTTACTTCGGAGCTGTGACCAGTGCTGTCTCCCTTGCGGTCAGTTGTTGATGATTATACATTTTATGATAATTAATATTCAGTCTAAGAGCAGGGATTCTGTCCTGCCTATTTGTACTATATGTAATAACATAGGTGTTACATGGTTAAATGGGTTTAAGTTTAAAAGTTTATTTGCCATGTGCACAGGATATGACAGGTGTAAAACAGTACAAATTTAGTTGAGGGTTTATCCTAAAGTTTGTGCTGTGTTTAGGTGGGACTGAATGTACTGATTCAGAGAGCCAACAGGTTGAGTCCAGCAACCCAAATGATCATACAGAGACTCATCCCTTTCCCAGCTGTGGGTATGTATTCATAAATAATGAATTATTAAGTTATTTTTATTACAGTATTAATGTGACAATCTAGACTCGATTAAAACACCTGTTTACCTCAATGTAATATGAGCTACAGGTGCAAATAAATACTGCCTTTACTTTTGGGTTCATTCTCCGTCTGTCCTGTCCTGTATGCAGGTCTCCCCCTTGTATTCATAGAGCTTTGCTATAAATGCATCCCTCACAGGGATACATCACCTTTAACAAGAGCTGCAGATAAACTGGTGTCAGAGGAGGCAGAGTTTTGCAGGCTTATAAAACTCTATAATACATTTACAGAATGGTTACCTTGAGGATAATGGGGGAGGATCATGCTTTTTCCATTTCAGTCAAGGGGAGGGTTTAGTATTTTTTTTAATCTAGTCCAAGGGAGGGTCATGTAATTTGTTATTGATGACATTTCCATATTTCTCAGTGTTTTAGAATTAGTTATTAAGCTACATATCGATGTGTGCCCGATGCCACCCCTCATCTCTGATTCTCCGCTGGACACGCAATATCAAGTGAGCTTATAGGCTATTTAGTGTGGTCTCAATCAAATGACCCATAGGCTATAGGCTATAGGCTGCGAAGTGCATGCTCAGAGAAGCACAGAGTGATATTTCTAAGAAAGCTGGTGGGATGGTGTAAATACAACTAGGCTGCATTACACACTGCAATGAATATTCCAACCCTGAGCCCCGGCCTGCTCTGCTCTTGCTGATCAAAAACAGTTTTGTGTGCTACCTAAACAATGACTGTGCTGTTTAGGCCTATGGTGGCAGTTCAGGAAGAGAGTCAAAGGCTTATTTCCCAAAATAATTTTTGATTAGGCCTACACAGCATAATTTTTTTTTATATTGCGCGTGGACCAGCCTATAGCCTATATGTTCTGTTCAGTTTGAGAAGGAGAGTGCCAAGATGAGAAGGAGGAACAGAGGTGAACTTTGATAGATTGTTACTACTATAATAGATTTTATTAAAAATAATATGTTTCTTGCCCATGATGTATTTATCAGAGTTATTGATATCACAATAAGCCAGATTCAGAACAAGCTTCACTATCTACGGAAATATACAGTGGGGAAAAAAAGTATTTAGTCAGCCACCAATTGTGCAAGTTCTCCCACTTAAAAAGATGAGAGAGGCCTGTAATTTTCATCATAGGTACACGTCAACTATGACAGACAAATTGAGGAAAAAAAATCCAGAAAATCACATTGTAGGATTTTTTATGAATTTATTTGCAAATTATGGTGGAAAATAAGTATTTGGTCACCTACAAACAAGCAAGATTTCTGGCTCTCACAGACCTGTAACTACTTATTTAAGAGGCTCCTCTGTCCTCCACTCGTTACCTGTATTAATGGCACCTGTTTGAACTTGTTATCAGTATAAAAGACACCTGTCCACAACCTCAAACAGTCACACTCCAAACTCCACTATGGCCAAGACAAAAGAGCTGTCAAAGGACACCAGAAACAAAATTGTTAACCTGCAAACAAGAC